AGATTGAAGGTGGGAGGCCCTCCTGGTCTCACGAGGAGCCAGAGCAGGCACGCTGCCTCATGCTAAATGATCTTACCCACTTGGACAGCCATTCTTTGAAACACTGGGTCATCAGTCATGAGCCACCATCCAGTGGACAGTTCAGCCCCATCTGTGGACCACCCAGCCTTCCTGGTGATGTGGGGAGGGCTGAGTCCCCTGAGGTGCCAGGAGCCTCAATGACCAGGGCAATTCAGAGGTTGACTTCTCCTTCCTCCTACAGATTTCTGCTCTGAAACACCACGATGAAGGAGGAGGGCTGCCATCTTAAGACTCACACTTGGCCCTGGCAGGAGAATCATCTCTGGAAGGTCAAGCCCATGGGCAGTTGGTTCTTCCAACCTTCATCTCTCCTCCAAATCCATTCTCCAAGCTTCAGTCTTCTCCCTCCAGCCAAAAACTTTATCATATCCTCTTCCCACAAAAGGCCCTTACAGTCAAGGTTTTCCACAAGGTCCACCTCCTTTCCATGCCCCACCTGGCTTTCCTTGCATTTTTTCTGTCCTCTGCTTTCTTGCCTCATCCCTTATGACTGTTCGCCTTCACCTATCCCTTTTTCTTCCCTTCCTCTTGGATCTCATTGATGTCAGGGATCTCCTTTCTGCTCTAAGTCTGTCCTTGACTGTCAGGATGTCACCTGAGGGAAAGGAAATTAATGTTTATTGTTCCCTGCAAGTGTGTAATCAGATATAGTCCCTCAGTCACCCTCTCTAGTCACTATTATTATTATCCCTATTGCACAGATGAGAAAACTGAGGGGTAGAATCAGAGTTAAATTACAGGCCCCAAGAGGGGCATCTGTCTGGCTCAATCAGCAGAGCATGTGACTCCTGATCTTGGCATTGTGAGTTTGAGCCATTGTTGGATGTAGAGATTACTTAAAAATAACATTTAAAAATAAAATAAAAATAGGGCCCCTGGGTAGTTTATTAAGTTAAGCATTGGATTCTTGATTTCGGTTCAGGTTATGATCTCACAGTTGGGGAGTTCGAGACCCAGGTTGGGCTCTGTGTTGACTGTGGAGCCTCCTTGGGATTCTCTCTCCCTCTGTCTCTGACCTTTCCCTGTTCACAGTTTCTCTCTCTCTCTCTCTCAAAAATAAATAAATAAACATTAACAAATAAAGTAAGGGGCACCTGGGTGGCTGAGTCAGTTAAGTGGCCAACTTCTGCTCAGGTCATGATCTTGCAGTTCATGGGTTCAAGGCCCGGTTTGGGCTCTGTGCTGACAGCTCAGAGCCTCGAGCTGCTTCAGATTCTGTGTCTACTCTCTCTCTGCCATTCCCCTCCTCTCAAAGATAAAATAAACATTAAAAAATTAAAATAAAATAAATTACAAGCCCCAAGAACACGTGGTTGAGAAGTGCCAAAAGCCAGGTCCATGTTATGCTTATTCACCAGACTCAGCCAGAGCTGGCACTGGGGAGAGGTCCCATTCCAGCTCAGTCCTCCCCCCCCCCCCCCCCATCGCTATCAGGGAGAGCCTTCAGGACTCAGTGTCTCTCAACGCCCATGCCCCAGGTCCTACCCCTTACTCCTCACAGGGTCTCTCACATCTTATCATCAGCCACTGCATCCTGTTCCCCTATGAAGCCCCCAAATGAGTCCTCGAGGCCACTGCTAAGTCATCATCTTTTCTCCTCCATCAGCCTCAGGCCTGTCCTATGGGAAACCCACTCTGTTCCGCGGGAAAGACCCTGAGCAGGCAGTTCCTTGTAGGGACTTGAGAAAGGTGAAGGAGGCCCCGCGGGGCACCGCCTGCCGAGCGGGAATCCCTGCCCTAACCGCTGGCGCCCCTCGAGGGGAGGGGTGAGGGCGGAGGTGGTTCTGCGGCGGCATCTGTCCCAGGCGGGCGGGAAGCTGCTGCATTAAATTGTAAAATCGATTTATTGACCGGCAGGTGCGAGCAGCGGCAGATGGAGAGTAGCGCTGCCGGGGCGCATCTGCGGGGAGCGGCGGCATCGATCCTGGCCCTCCTCCGAACCCCGTCGGTCCTGGTCCTTTCTCCTAGGCTCGCTCCCAATTGCAGGGCCAAGGTCCGCGAAAAACTGCTGCGCCTGAGCGGCTAGGATAGCTCGGCTCCCTTTCCCTCCCCTCTCCTGGCCTCAGGGCTCGGGCTGCGCCCCCACGGCTGGCAGGCCCTGCCAGCCCCACTGCCCCAGTTGGCACGCGGCGGGCCGGGCTGACGCGTGGCAGCGCCCTGCGGCAGATGAGGCACGCGCCGGCCTCATTTCAATGTGAATGGATCGAAAGGAGCAGCCATGTGGCAGCAACAGTTTGCAAATCTCCCCGCCTTCTGTGCAGCTCCCCGGCCGCCGCTCCCTGCACGTGGCCCCTTCTCTGCGGCGACCGCAGCGGCGCCCCTCAAGGCTTAAGCGCCCCGCCCACGCCAGGCCCGCTCCCCCGCCCCTGGCCTGCCCAGCGGGCTCCGAGGCCGGGCCTCGGCCGTGCTCCTACCTGGCCGCAGTTTGCCCTGCAGAGGACCCGAGTAGGGGGTGGGCGAAACGTCGCTGGAAGCCTCGGAGCTGCGCTCTCGGCTCGCGGGCTGGGGGTGGGGGTGGAGGGGGTGAGCAGGCTACTTAGTGGGGGAGGGATCCCGAGGCTCTGTGTAGTCCCCGTTGTACCCCAATAACCCGGGGTCAGCTTAGGGGCACGGCTGGAAGACAACCTTGGCGCTTCAAAGCCCCAGGTGCGGGCTGTGCCTGCTGGGGAGCTATGTGCAGTGACCAAAAGGAGAGGATAACAGAAGCAGAAGGGCCCTGCGGTGGAGGCTGTGGGCCTTGTGCGATGCCAGGCCTGGATCGGGCTCCGGCTCCTGACATCGTCAGTGCCAGTCGAGATGAGGACCAGTCAGTCCAGGGGAGCCTATGTCAGTTGAGACATGCATCCGTGCCGCAAGCGTCAGCATAGGGGCAGGGGCAGTAGATGCCTAGGTGGGTCCAACCCCATGTGATTTGCAGTCTCTGGTGGCCTCACAGCCTCCTGCTCCTGGCGGTCCCCAGGACACATGCTGGGTTCTTCTGGTCTCAGTGGAAGAAAAAGGGAGGAGTCCCAGCTGTGGGCACTTGCATTTCAGTTCTGCGCCTGCAGCAAGACTCTCTTGCTCAGCAAATGTGGGCAAAGAGGGACTCCAGCAGACTGGAGCGCTGATGGCTTTTCAGGGCCAAGGGTGGCATCTTAGCAGGACAATGAACTTCTGGGACAGCAGAAGTTTTTTTGTTCCCACTGTGGCAAATAGATGCTTCATAAAAAGCCTTTTGATGGTGAAGAGAATTTAACCCTTTCCTCCTCAAAGAGGATTTCTAGGTCTTGGGGGTCCCTTGCATTTTGTGTCTGTGAGGCTAATGATACTTCTGTTTGGTCCTTAACTGTTTGCAAAGTAGTTTTGGGCACATTAGTCAGGATGTGTAACAGGGGTAGAGAATGTTCCAGATCTACCAGTATTGAGCAAGATGCATCCCATAGAGCTGGATGTGTCCGTTGAGGGTCAGGCAAGTGCCAGAGTCAGAAAAGGAGTGAGTTCTTCTGAACTCCTAGGCTAGGATTTGGAGTTGGAAGCAGACAGAACTAGGCAGGGATGGATGCCAGCTCCGAGGAGAGGGAGGAACACTCTTTGGCATCCTAGGCAGGTCTAGGGATCATAGAGTATGGGCGGAGAGAGGGTGGGGAACCCACTTGTCAGGATCGCTGGGAGGCAAGCCCTGGGCTCCCCCTCCCTCGGGCCTGGGGACTCCGCCTGCCCATAACCTACATTAACTCTGGAGCGCAGCCTGGGCCCATCTGCCGGCCCCCGCCCCACCTCGGTTCCCCACGCCAACCCGCTCGCGCCAGATGGTGGCTGGGAGGGGTGGCCGTGCGTGGGGGACCCCGGAGCCCATCTCCTCATCTCGCCCCTCCCCCAACCCACGCTCCCAACCTCTTGTTTCTCATCCTTCCCCCCAATCCTCCACCACCACCCGCAAGTCAAAAAAAATCAGACTGTGCTAGGCATAGGCAGCTGTTGTGCTCCACTGCCGCGCCCCCCCCCCCACGCCCCCCCCCCCCCCCCCCCCTTGTTTCTCATCCTTCCCCCCCCCCCTCCACCACCACCCGCAAGTCAAAAAAAATCAGACTGTGCTAGGCATAGGCAGCTGTTGTGCTCCACTGCCCGCCCCCCCCCCCACGGCCTTCCCCCGGGCCCGCGCCGCGTCCCTGCCCACCGCCTCCCCACACACCCCCCGCACCCCCGCCCCGCGCCGATCTTATCGCTCTACGACAGCCATGGCTGTGCGGGCGGTCTGACAGCTGAAGCCACCGGGCCCCCGCTGCCCTCAGCGTCGCGGAGAGAGAGATCCCCGGCACCCCCGAGACTGGGAGAAGCCGGCCCTCCCCAGTCTAAGGCCTCCGGGGATCATGCCGGGTTCCGGGAAAGCAGCTGCACTGCCGCCGCTCGGAGAAGTGGGGCCACCCAGGGGAGCGGCGAAGGCGAGACGGGTGAATCTGCCTGAAACTCAAATTAGTACGCGCGCTTTCAGTTCCACCCTTCATCTTGCCCCTATGTGCAGAGGACCCGGGTCTGCCCGACCTCAGCCCCTCACCAGAACTCTCCAGTGGCTTGAGCCAACGCTGGAGCCGGGGGAGTTCCTCCCTGCCCCAGCGGAGCGACAGGACGCTGGAGGGGGCTTGGGGCTGCTGGGGTAGGGGGGAGACGGCGGGCAGTGGAATTGAAGCAGAACCCAGGTGAGGGGAGGCGCTGGAGGCGGGGCCAGACCCTTATTACCATACAGCTGAGGACGCGCCCCCCTTCTCCAACCTCGGGGACCACGCCCCCTTCCCTCATCTCGCGGACCACGCATCTAGGGGCTGGCATCAGTGGAGCCCAGGCTGGGTTCAGAAGGGAGAAGGCACGCGCTGGGCACATCCCCAGCAAGTAGGGAGGGAGACGCCCGCCAGGTGGAGGGTGGGAGCCGCCGAAAGCCCTAGAGTCTTGGACTCAAGTCCCTCGCCTTGCCCAGTGTGGCCACTGAGAGGTTAAAGCGTCCGCTGGCTTCCCCGCTGCGTGGGGGACGCGAGGTGGGTGGGCGCTCACAGGTTGCGGGCCGAGGAGAGTACAGCTTCTGAGGCTCCGGGAAGGAGATCCGAGTCCTTCCGTGCTGCTTTCTCTTTCCGAGCTTAAGTTTATTTTACCTGCTCAAAGGCTGAAGGTAACCAGCGCCGACTGCGGACAGACAGCCCACGGGGACTCCCCAGTGTCTCCGCCTCCACGACCATCCGGGAACCACTCCTCTCACCTCCCGCCCCATCCCCCGAGGCCCTCCCCCTCCTCCCATCGCCGGGGTCTCGACCCGTAACCCCTTGGTCGCAGAGAACTGGTCACTTTGGCACGCGCAGACTTAGGGGACCTAAGGGTTGAGAGCGCCACGGAGGGGCGGGGACCTGTGCTTGACTGGCTGACGGAGACGGGGGATGGCGGGGGCGGAGGCCCCCTCCAGGCCGCGCTGGGGCTGTAGCGCTAGAGGCCCGGAGGGGAGGGGAGAGTGACCATGGGTTCTGAGTGACAGGCGGCGAAGAGAGGAGCCAATATATATAAGGAAGGCTCCAGAGCGCGCAGGTTTCAGTAGCGGCGCAGAGCGCAAGCTGGGAACACGAGGCCAAGAGCCGCAGCTCGAGCCGCCTCAGTGCACTGTACCCGGGCACTAGCCCGCTTGCAGCCTCAGGATTAGCCCGAGGACACATCCTCAGTCCGGCCACCGCCCAGCCGCCCTCACCTGGATTACCTACGGCCGCAGTTGGAGCAGAGCTAGCGAGAAGGCGAAGCGGGAGGAAAGCCCCAGAAGAGCCTGGCTTTTTAGGGACCCTTCTGGCGGATAGACGCGCGGGAAAGCGGCGTCCCAAACGAAGCCAGCTACAGGGCGGGCTCGGGGAAAGAGCGACGCTCCAGGGGATGGCAGCCGGGTCCCGTAGCGCCTCTGGCTGGGCGCTACTGCTGCTGGTGGCACTTTGGCAGCAGGTAACGTCCCGCGCCCCCTCCACCCCCTCCCGCCGCTCCCTGAGCCTGAGCCCTGGGCGTCTGCCGAGCTGACCGCTCCCCTCCTTCCTTCCCTCCGTCCCCGTGCAATAGCGCGCAGCCGGCTCCGGAGTCTTCCAGCTGCAGCTGCAGGAGTTTGCCAACGAGCGCGGGGTACTGGCCAGCGGGCGGCCGTGCGAACCCGGCTGCAGGACCTTCTTCCGCGTCTGCCTTAAGCACTTCCAGGCGGTCGTCTCTCCCGGGCCCTGCACTTTCGGCAGCGTCTCGACGCCTGTGTTGGGCACCAACTCCTTCGCCGTCGGGGACGATAGTAGCGGCGGTGGACGCAACCCTCTTCAACTGCCTTTCAATTTCACCTGGCCGGTGAGCACAGCCTGGGCGCACTGGGAGGTCACGAAAGACGAGAAGGGGGCTCCCTGGGACCAAAGACCTCTCCCCAGATTTCCTCGCTTCCAACTAAGCAAAACAAAAAACAAAGGGCGCTCTCTTTTGATACTTTATTGCGACTCTCTCCTGGGACCTCATCCTCAGGAAGGTTCTCACCAGGCTCCCTCCTCCCAGTTCTAAGGCCTCTCTTCTCCCTACTCTGGGGATATGATTTTTATCACCTACTACCCCGGCGCGTTTCCCACCTTCGAATGACCCTCGCTTACATTCCCCCATCTCCTAACCTTTGTCCCACTCGGGGTTCTCCTCTCACCTTCCCTGCTCGCGCGATGCTGTGCGCAGACACATTATGTTGACCCGGGAGCCGTAACTGTATCCTGCAATTAGATTAATTAAACCCGCTGCCGCAAGGCACCCCTACCGCCTTCCCTGCTCATCTTGCTCTGTCTTCCCCCGCCCCCTCCTTTGGCCTCCAGGGTACCTTCTCACTCATCATCGAAGCTTGGCACGCGCCAGGAGACGACCTGAGGCCAGGTGAGTAGCTCGCTCCGCCACCACAGGGGGGCGACACAGCGCAGCGCCTAAAGAGTTAACCTGTAATAGGCGGGGGAAGTGCGGGGTGGGGGGCAGGACGCTAAGCTCGGCCTGGAGCTGCGCCCCGCGCTGGACGCTCGGATTCCGCCCGCTGCCTGGACTCTGAGCACAATTGCGTTTCCTGCGGGTTATTTTTGGCGTGGGAACGCGGGGAGCACGGCGGTGAGAAAGGCTGAAGCTGCCAGCGCCGCTGACGGGCCCCTTCCTGTATTTTACACCTTTTGCGAATTCCGCTCCTTTGGAAAGGGAATAATGGCTTTGGGATGTTGTTCTGACACAGAGGAAAAGGATATTTCAGCAGCACAACAATTCTCACTTTGAAAAGGAAAAAGAAAAGCATTACCCATCTCTGAGGGCAAAACCCGTGAATGGGCACCAGAGGACCCTTTGCTCACAGTGTCCTCCCAGGACTGGCTTTCTTTTCTTTCTTTTTCCTTTTCCTTTCTTTCTCTCTCTCTCTTTTTTTCTTCCTCATTTTAACCTCTTTTCCTCTTTCCTGGTCTATCTGCCTCCAGAACACTGGGATATCTTAACATCCTTCTATTGTCCCTTTTTTGAATGGTATCAGGCATTCGGAGCCCAGAAGAGCGCGCACGCACACACACACACCCGCCCGCACACACATAGAAGCTAAGCAGTGGGTCGCTTGGGTTCCTTTGGCCTGTGCTTGCTGGCAGGTGGGGATCATCTGGACAGTTGGTTTGATCCAGCAGTTGCTGGCACTCTCAGGGACTGGCTGCCCTTCCTTGACCTGGCCCTCTGCCCCTTCAGAGGCCTTGCCACCAGATGCGCTCATCAGCAAGATCGCCATCCAGGGCTCCCTAGCTGTGGGCAAGAACTGGTTACTGGATGAGCAGACCAGCCCTCCCACAAGGCTGCGCTACTCTTACCGGGTCATCTGCAGTGACAACTACTATGGGGACAGCTGCTCACGCCTGTGCAAGAAGCGCAATGACCACTTCGGCCACTACGTGTGCCAGCCAGATGGCAGCTTGTCCTGCTTGCCCGGCTGGACTGGCGAGTACTGCGAACAGCGTAAGCAGCCAAGCTCCTGCCTACCTGGCGGGGGGTCCCTGGAGCAAACACAGTGGCCTCTTTGCGGCCACAGCCTTCCTCCCTCACTGTGCAGGTCTGGGCTGCCCACTAGCTGGGCCGCAGGAACAGGTGGGGATGCTTAGGACAGGTGTGGACTCTGACCTCTCTCTTCTTAGTGCTCCCCCACCCCATCTTGCCAGAGCCCAAATGACCCTGTTATTGCTTCCATCTAGCCTGGATTCTCATTCCCTGTGACACCGTTTCCCTTTAGGCACCCATGGCTCCTCTGGGAGGCCAGGAGTGGGAAGCGTGCCCAGTAGATCTTGGGGGGCAGCCCCAGGCCCAGGAGAGGGAGAGAGGGGCTTCAGAGTCCTTGGCATTCCAGCCTCACCCAGCTCTGTTTTCTTTCCTCAGCTGTCTGTCTTTCTGGCTGTCATGAACAGAATGGATACTGCAGCAAGCCCGCAGAGTGCATGTGAGTAGGGGACAGGAAGCGGTGAGGAGGGAGCTGTCTCCTGGCCAAGCCCTCACCTCACCCTCAGCTTTCCTTTTGCTCAACAGCTGCCGCCCAGGCTGGCAGGGACGCCTGTGCAACGAGTGCATCCCCCACAATGGCTGTCGCCATGGCACCTGCAGCATCCCCTGGCAATGCACGTGTGATGAGGGCTGGGGAGGCCTATTCTGTGACCAAGGTGAGTCAGGACAAAGAGAGCTGCAGAGGGCATCGGGGAGATGGGCGGGGGGTGGGAGCCAGAGGCGTCACACTTCTTACTTGGCCACCACCGACTTGGCTTTCCTACTATCCTTTAAGGAGTTTGGGGCCTTTAAGGGTCCTTACATTTGGCCTTGAATGAGACTGTGGGTCCTTCTTGCTTCGGTGCTGGGGAGGCAGGGTGGCTGATGAAGCCAGGTGGTTGACAAGTTGGCAGCCTGGAAGTTGTACTCAAATTCCAGCAAGGCTAAAGAGGGGGGATGCTGGGCTCAGTTCCTCTTTCTACCTTGTAGTTACCTATTAACCCCCGAAGTGTTTGCTTACCTGCAAGCCCTGTTTGAGCAGCTCTCCCTCACACAGCTGTCCGGTGGGGTGTGCCCACCAGCTGCCCTGAGGCTGTGGGTGAGCTGTGCCTCTGGGCGGAGTGACATCTAACCGACTTCTTGCTGTGGGCAGAAACAGCCTCCCTTGTTCTTCCCCATTTGTGCTTGCCAGGCAGCTGCCTGAGCCCACAGTCAAGTTCTGGGTTTGGGAGGGCGGCTGGTCACTCTTCTGGCTATACAGGAGTCTGCCAGCCCCAACCATGGGGGGAGGGAGCCTCTTCTCCTTCATCCTGGGAGCCAGCTGCAGCATGTGTCTCCCATTTTCAGGGTCAAATAGGGTGGCTGCTGCCATGGAGACACCAGCAACAGGCTTGGGAGGGTGGGCAGGGGGCTTGCCAGTATAGAAAGAACTTGTCTAGGCCCTGACTTGCTGGCAGCGAGGGGCTTGGAATTCAGCCCCTGTATTCTGTGTGTGTGTGTGTGTGTGTGTGTGTGTGTGTGTGTGTGTTGCTTTCCCCCTCCTCTACCCCAAACACGCATCCGCACCTGGTTCCTGCCCGTTCTCTTTCCTCTCCCCACGTTTGCTCCCCGGTGACACGGTCGTATACTCATCATATGTAAACATAGCCCTTACAGTCTCTATATTTGCTCTACGTTTGCTCCCTCCCTGAACTTCCCAAATAAGAAAACAAATACTTCTATTTCAAAATACCCTCGTAACACATTTCCCTTTTTAAAATGCCCAGCCATTATTTACGGTGTCTTTTGGCTCCTCTCTGCCCTTTCCACCTGTTAAAATTTTATCCCTCCTTCCAAGTTTATCTCAGCTGCCCCTCCTCCATGAAACCTTTTCTGACTTCCCCCTCAACATGTGGCCTTGCCATACACTCCTCTTCCTTCCCTTCATTCTACCCTGGTGGCCAGTGGTTGTAAGCTTACCTAGCAGGCAGTTGTCCCATCTGTGGGTTTTTTCAACTTTGGCTGATTGCGCTGGTCAGATGTGGTTCAAGGTGCCATGATATACATGACTGGAGGAGGAGGGAAGGTAGTTGGGTCAGGACGACTTTGAGCTGAAGCCTCTGGGCCAGACACGGACAGGGAACTTGCACTACATGGAGTCTGGAGGTAGGGAACTCTCTACAGCCCTCCTCAGCTGGCTGTTTCTGTCTCCACAGATCTCAATTACTGCACCCACCACTCTCCATGCAAGAATGGGGCAACGTGCTCCAACAGTGGGCAGCGGAGCTACACCTGCACCTGTCGCCCAGGCTACACTGGCGTGGACTGTGAACTGGAACTCAGCGAGTGTGACAGCAACCCCTGTCGCAATGGAGGCAGCTGTAAGGTGAGCCTCAGGCTGGCGGAGGTCTGGCCAGGTAGTGCCCAGGCATCCCTACCCCAGGTGGCCAGTGGGTGTGCAGCCATGGGCAGACATCGTGGGTAGGTGGGATCTAGCCCCTAGCCGTGCATCCCTACCCCCCAGGGTCTGACTCTTGCCCCTTTTTGGTGTCTCTCCAGGACCAGGAAGATGGCTACCACTGCCTGTGTCCTCCAGGCTACTATGGCCTGCACTGCGAACACAGCACTTTGAGCTGTGCAGACTCCCCCTGCTTCAATGGGGGCTCCTGCAGGGAGCGCAACCAGGGGGCCAGCTATGCCTGTGAATGCCCCCCCAACTTCATGGGCTCCAACTGTGAGAAGAAGGTGGACAGGTGTACCAGCAACCCGTGTGCCAATGGTGAGTCTCGTTGCCTTGCTAACCTGGTCGGCCAATCTTAGGGCTGAGAGAGCCTTCTGGTGAGGGAGGGTCAGGAGAGGAGAGAGGCCAGCTCTGTCCCTCAAGGCAGGCTGAGACGGTCCCACCCTGCTCTGGATGGTGAAGAGCCTATATAATCAGCTGGGGGGCTCTGGAAGAGGGGCAGGTTGGCAGTGGCTGCAGGCCTTAGGAGGCAGAGTGGTGGGTACCCTGCTTCACTTCCTGTCCCCACATCAGAGCCCCCTCGTGGCTCTGGGTGGTCTCTGGCCCTCCCCAGGAAGTCGTGGGCTGGAGAGACAGATGTGTGAGGTCTTGTGTCCCTCCTAGAGGGAGGCTGGCTCAGTCAGGGCCCCACTTTTGAAGGTCTCACCTTGCCCTGTGGCCACACGGAACTTGGCATGGCACAAGGCATCTAAGATGTTCAGCATCTTGGGGCACATGGCTGGCTCAAGTCAGTAGAGCATGCAACTCTCGATCTCAGGGTTGTGAGTTTGAGCCCCGCATTTGGGTGTAGAGATTACTTAAAAATCAAATCTTTAAAAAATGTTAAAATAAAATCTTCAGCATCTTTTAGGGGTACAAATCATGATGGTTGGCAAATCATGATCTCCTTGGCCTCCTGGTGACCTTCCATGAGGCAGGCAGACAGCTCTGTGTGGGAGAGAAGCCTCAGGAGGTGGAGAAGAGATGGAAGGGCTGAGATGAAGTCTGTTCTCTAGCTAATCACTGTGTTCATTCTGTTAACTGATAATTACATTTGAGCATTTACTATATAGCAGCATGTGCTCCTCCCTTCATGTGTCATTCTACCTAGTCTTCAGAGAGCTCCTATGGTGGGGGGGAGGGTGGCGGAGGGATAGCATTATACTTTAACAAGTGAGGAAACTGAGGCTTAGAATAAGGCAAAGCAACAGGTGCCAGACTCCCTTCAGCTTGAGGGAGACAGCTGAGATTCAAACCCAAGCGTAGCTGTTCGATCCTGCTGTGAGGCTTTGTACGATGCTAGTAGTTTTTATACATGAGCTCACTGAAGCATATGGGGCCAGAGGCACCCTCAAAGCCCAGGTCTCCCGACCCTTGGTACAGTGCTCTTTGTAGTGCGATCTGTGCTGGGGCACTCACCCGCTGCACCAGGGGGGTTCCCAGGTGACTGCTGACTTGTGCCCCATATGTACCCACAGGGGGCCAGTGCGTGAACCGTGGTCCTAACCGCATGTGCCGCTGCCGTCCTGGATTCACAGGCCTTCACTGTGAACTCCACATCAGCAACTGTGCCCGCAGCCCTTGTGCCCATGGCGGCACTTGCCATGATCTAGAGAATGGGCTTGTGTGCACCTGCCCGGCTGGCTTCTCCGGCCGGCGCTGCGAGGTGCGGATTCCTAATGATGCCTGTGACTCGGGACCCTGCTTCAACGGGGCCACCTGCTACCCTGGCCTCTCCCCGGACAGCTTCGTCTGCAACTGTCCCTATGGCTTCGCGGGCAGCCGCTGCGAGTTCCCTATGAGTATGCCACCCAGCTTCCCCTGGGTGGCTGTCTCTCTAGGCGTGGGACTGGTGGTGGTGCTGGTGTTGCTGGGCATGGTGGCAGTCGCAGTGCGGCAGCTGCGGCTTCGGCGGCCTGACGATGGTGGCAGGGAGGCCATGAACAACTTGTCAGACTTCCAGAAGGACAACCTGATCCCTGCCGCCCAGCTTAAGAATACAAACCAGAAGAAGGAGCTGGAAGTGGACTGTGGCCTGGACAAGTCCAACTGTGGCAAACAGCAGAACCACACACTGGACTATAATCTGACCCCAGGGCTTCTGGGGCGAGGGACCATGATGGGGAAATATTCCCACAGTGATAAGAGCTTAGGGGAGAAGGCGCCACTGAGGTTACACAGGTGAGTAGCTCCTGGAGGCCCAGGGCCTGGCCACAGAGCCCCGCATGGTACTTCCCAGGCTCCCCAGGGCAGGGAGAAGGCTGGCACCAGGCCCCTGATTGCTTTTAAACAAACGGGGTTTTGCTACTGACAGGAAGCCCCTCCAACAAGATTTCTGTAGGGGTCCTTCATCCCTCCTCCTCATGCATTCATCCACCCATTCATTCACAAATGTCAAGTGTCCACATTGGGTCTCTTGGCTTCCATCTTTCCATGGCATGGCTTGCCTGTAGAGGCACTGCTGGCTTTTTTCCAGGCCTGAGACCTTGGTAAGGTCGAGGGTTTTGTGGCTCTCCTAAGGGGCTGTTCCTAACTGCTCCCCCAGGCTAGCATTGGGCATCCTGGGTCCCTTTGTCCTCTCAGAGCCACACCTGCCAGGGCCCTTTGGCTCTCCATCATCCAGGTTAGCGCGTCACCTGCCCCCCCACCCCTCTCCCCATCCCCCCCTCACCAGCCTGTCTTGTGTTCCCTCAGTGAAAAGCCAGAGTGTCGGATATCAGCGATATGCTCCCCCAGGGACTCCATGTACCAGTCTGTGTGTTTGATATCAGAAGAGAGGAACGAATGTGTCATTGCCACAGAGGTGAGTGTGGGGCTCACTTTCCCTTCCAGCGTGTCCCCACCTGCTATTCGGGGATGGGAAAGAGGCCTGGTTACTTTCAACCCCAGGGTGGGTCAGAACCTGTCCTTGGCAGGCCAGGTTCAGTGGCTCTTAGGTCCCGGCTGGCCTCATTGCCACAGAGGGTGTGAAACAGGAGCTGGGCCTAGCTCCTCCTGCTGTGTTCTTGCTGGGCTGCGTGGCCACGGCACCGGGCCAGCTCCCCAGCACTGCTTCCCAGCTGCTGGTGGGTGAGAGTGCACCTTCCTGCCCCTTCTCGCTGCTTCCTCCGCTGGCCCACTCCATGAACACGGGCTCCCAGGCAGTGCACATATTAGGACAGAAGTCTGGGGAGGGCTGCCCCACCTTCTTCTCTTTACCCCACCTGGCTGAGTGGCTTCTCCCAGGGAGGCCCAGGGCAGCCCTGGAGGTAGTGCCAGGGCTCCAGGGTAACCTCCCTCCCTGCTTTTTGCATGCTCCCCAGGTATAAGGCAGGAGCCTTCCCAGGACATCCCAGCTTTGCCCCAGCAGCTGGATCTTCCTTCTGCATTGTTTACATTGCATCCTGGATGGGACATTTTTAATATGCAACGTGCTGCTCTCAGGAGGAAGAGGGAATGGCATGACCTGGACAGACTGTGAACTTGCCAAGAGATGCAGTACCCTTCCACGCCTTGGGGTGTCTGTCTGGCATCAGCTTGGCAGCCGTGCCAGCCAGAGGAACAGAGAGGAGAGGTGCAACTGGGACCTGCCCTGCTGGCAGTGGCTTTCAGAGGGGCTCCTCTGGGAATCTGGCCTGTTTTCTAGAGGGAGAGGCAGTGGCCCCTTGGGGCCTGGAGCTGCTGTGGCCTCCACTGGCATCTGTGTTTCCAAAAGTGCCTTTGGCCTGGGCTCCATGGTGACAGCTGTGGAAAGGAGAGAGGAGGCCAGTATGGGCAGGGCCATCTGTGGGCCAGAGTACCACCGGGCGCGGCTCTTGGCAGGAGTTGCCCTGCAGGTGAGCCGAGAACCCCATGTCTCCAGCCACTGCATGTGGGCCTTGCTCATAACACGGCTCCAGCTTCTCCTATTGGCCAGGGCCCTCTGGGAAGGGCTGTTGGTAAGACTTACTTGGCTTCCACAGCCTCCGGCCTTGCGTGCCTCTGGGTTCCTGTGAGCAGACAGGTGGAGGGCATGCCCTATCTGTCAGCTGGGGGCACCAGGCCTAACTGGGGAGCTCAGGGCAGTGATGGAAATTCCAGTGAGGGACAAGTGAGGTGCTGTTACCGCCTAGGCCCTTTCCTCCCTCAAACCATTCCTCCAGCCTTGAGCCTACACCCACTACTGCCCCAAGACCACCCTGGAAGCCGATCTTCAGAAATCAATAATATGAGTTTTTTTTTTTTTTGTAGTTTATTTTGGAATCTAGTATTTCGATAATTTAAGAATCAGAAGCACTGACCTTTCTACATTTTATAACATTATTTTGTATATAATGTGTATTTATAATATGGAACAGACGTGTACAGGAGTTTATTACATCTTGGGTCCTGTCTTTGTGATGGCAGAGTGGGAATCCTCTCTCTATCCTCTCTGAGTCCCCTTCTCATATTGCTGCTGGCCTCCCTGCCAGGACCCCCGGGACCTGTGCATGCACTTGACCTTTGCCTGCCAGGCTCCTTCCAGTCCTTGCAGAGCCCCGTCTCGCCATCTTCTCCCAGGCCTACGCCAGCCTTCCCCGCCTGCTGGCTTTCCCCCCTGTGCTTCCACCATAAGTTGGGGGATATGCTCCCTGACCTGGATCTATCCCCCTTTCTCTCCTTAAGCCTGAAAGTTTTGGGCCTCCCTAGTCAGCCTAGGAGATACAGGAACTGGGGCAAGGGATTATCCTGTTTTCCTTTTTTCAAAAGGATTCACTTATTGGACAATGGGGTCTCTGAACCATAATGACATCTGGGCCCCTCCTCCTGCCATTGCAGGGTTTTAGATGGACTGGCACCTACATACTCTTTTCTCAGTCCCAGTGGGGCACTGATCTTGGGGGTGGGGAGGGCCTTACCTTAGGTCTGCATTCCTTGCAGCTGGGCAAGGGCGCTGAGTCCGGGCTCCTGGTCCGCCCAGAGCTGCAGGAATTTTTTGAAGACTGCAGGGAGAGGAGGAGGAGGAGGTAGCCTTCCCTGGGGCCAGGTTTCTCTGGCTGAGGCACTAATGAGGGAGTTTTAGTCTCTACTTCATGTCTATCCTCCTCTAAGGTGCAGGATGGTCCCTAGGGGGCCACAGTCCTCTCTCTACAGCCACAGGCATATGACATGGGAAGTAAATGATGAAAAAATTGAGCTACTGACAAAAAGCCAAGCAGATGCTCCCAGATCTCAGTCTATCACAATAAAGCAAAATAGACCCACCAGATGCTCCCTATAGAGTCCAAGAATGTGCAGTGCCCTCTTGCAGTGGGCTCTTGCCCTCCCTGACCTGGTAGCTTATGCCAGAGACTTGGGAGCAAGGGACCCTGGCTCACCCCCACACACACGCTCCACGCCTTGCTCTTGCTCCCTGCTCCCCTTATTGCACACACAGGGTATCAAACAGGAAAACATTCAGGGAACCGTTCCCACAGCCTGAGCCGGCAGCAGGGGGAAGAACAACACGACCTCACTCTTCCTGCCCAAAATGAAACAGGAAAGCAGCTCCCGGGCCCTGGGGGCTGGGGAAACTGGGCTGGGACACAAGGCTGATGACGAAGCTCCCATGTGGGGGACAGGTAGGACACCCGCGAGCCTGCACGTCCACACGGCCAGGCTGTGCGGAGGCTTCACCAGCTGCCAGTCCCTCTGAGAAGAGCCTTGGAGGGGAGCTGGTTAGCCAAACCCCCTCACCGACTCTGATGCCCTAGTGGGGAAGCGGGAAGAGCCCACCACGTAGGCTTTCTGGGGAAAGAGAGGATCTCAGCACAGGTTTGGATTAGGCAGCTCCAACCTGTGTCTTCACTTCTAGTGGCAATGGCAGAAGCTGGGCAAAGCAGTTGGGGTGTGAACAGGCCACAGCAGAAGCCCTCCGATCCCTAGCCTGGAGGTCAAGCCCTGAGGGTCCAGCCCCCTCTCATAGGTAAGGTACCTAAGACTCTCCGGATCGAGCGTCCAGGTATACAGGAGAGGTGCGAGGCTAGGTAGAAACAAAGCCAAACGAAGCACTGGGAAACCCTCTCCATGGTTTAGCAAATGCCCGTTTCATTCCTATGAGTGTTTCATAAGAGAATGCAGAGTTTAGTGGTTCCTTAATAGCCTGGAGGCAGTGCCCAGCCTAAAGGCTAATCTGGCCCCATGGTGACCTCCAGCTCTGGGGACAGCTGCTTTTCCAGGGCCCACTGGCTGCTAACCACCTGCGTTTCTCTGTGGGGAGATGAGTCAGGAAGAGGCTGTGAAGGAAGGAATGCCTTTATCCTATTTGTTCAACCAGGGCCCCCTCTCCTGCCTTAGTGCCAAGGTCAGACTGGTTAGGGGGTAGGGCAAAAAAGACAGTGGCTCCTATCCGCCCCCTCCATCTCAGGCTAGATAAGGCCACCACACTCAGGCAGTATGGATGGATGCTCCATCTCTGATGGGGACCCACACACAAGGCTCTCCTGCCCTGCATCTCTCCCAGACTTTCCTCGTGGGTCTCGCAGGATCCGCGAACCCAGCCCTCCGTCCCACGTGGCCTGCCGCATTCCGGGAAGGGGATGGAAGTGATTCACTCAGGGAACTGTGACTGTCCCTTCCCGGGGAGAGGATGCGACTTCTCCGGGTGGCCGCGCCCACGGTGCACCATTCGGCCCCGTGGCCCCGTGGCCCCGCCGGATCCTGGCGGACCCGGAGACCCGCGCGGCGGAAAAGGCAGGTGCGGCGCTCTCGCTGGGTCGGCCTTCCACCTGCCGCAGCCGCCGGGCGCCCAGGAGGTCCCGCGGCCCCGCGGCCCCCCTTGCCCCCCCTGCCCCCCCCCCCCCCGTTCTTTGTTACAGCCCGACTTCCTGTTTGCGGCCTCCCGACCCCGGCTCACTTCCCGGGCCGGGAAGCAGCCGAAGGCCGCGAGTTTCTCGGAGACGCCCCCACCCGCTGGGCTCCTCCTCCTGCCGCCCCGAATCCCGCCCCCGGCCTGGAAACCCGTGCGAGGCCGGGGCCGCGGCCGCGGCCGCGGCCGCGGGAAGCCGGTGTCGCCGGCGGGCCAGCGGGCGGGACGGCCGGGTCCCCGCTGCTCGGCACCAGAGGGCGCTGCGCGGCCAGCAGGGCTGCGCACGGTTGGGAGCCGCGGTCGCCCGCCGGGGCTTGGGGTCAGCCCATCTCCGTCCTGGGGCCCGACGGGACGAACCCGGGACGGGTCGGCGGCCACGAGTTTAGTTTTCGTCGCTGTGGCGTGGAGCTCCCTACAAGCCCCGACCCCGAGGGAGTAAGCCGAAGAGAGCTCAACGCAATGCCGTCCCAAATACGCCTCAGCGTATCCAGAGAAGCAAGACTCTTTAGTGTACAGCCAGCTCCCCTGACCACCTCCCCCCAGTCCTCAGTCCTCCAGCCACCCCCGCCCCGCAGGCACCCTGAATGCTAGGGAATAGGGACAGGCTGGAAAGGGCGCCGGTCCGAGTTGGGAGGCTGAAGCTCTTATGCAGCAGCACCTCTCATTGTCAGGTGACCTGGGACACAACTCCATCTCTTTCTGCATTCATTCCACACTGATCAAGCACCTTTTATACGGCAGTTATTGGCGATAAAACATCGTCTCTGCCCAAAGAGACTAGCCATCCAGTTAATTATCTCTAACCTCTCAGAGGATGCTAATACCTCTTGCACATTACTATGAGGTTGGGATGAGTTGGTGTATGAAAATATTTGTCAGCAACGAGTCCCCCAGTGGTTGGTTAATCCTTCTCAAGCTTATGGCCAACAAACCATTTTCTGGAGCTTCCACTCTGCCAGCCCATGGGATAGGCAGTGGGCTAGAAAGGAGCTTAGAGCCTGACTGTGTAGTCCCAGCAGTAGCCTTAGGACCAAGAAGGCGACTGAAATCCCAGGTTATCTGCACCATTACTTCCTGATGTGCCCCTGTCTTTAAGGAACACTACTGGTTTAGGTCAGCCTCTAAGGTGGGAATAGGGCAACGGGGACCCTGGCTCTGAGAAGGAATGGCAGGACCCCAAGTCCTCAATAGTCCTTTCTCTTGGAGATGTGTCACAAGTGTCTTTTGCTGCCTTTTCCCTGACCTCTGGGACCCTGCACCCTTCTAACACTCTGGCCGAGGGCAGACTCAGCCTGTTCCCTTCATGCCCAGACATCCTCTGAGTCCACAATTCAGGGTCCAGAAAGACAGCCAAAGTTAAAGCAGACACAAGGTAACTAGCATCTCCAGAGTCTGGATTTAGCAACAAGTCAGCTTTGGGCAGGAGCCTGTCCTGTGTCATGGCACCCCCTGCAGGGCAGAGCCAAAGCCCTGCCAGGCATGTCCCGCGCTCCTGCTTCCTTGCTCAGTTTGGGGGCAAAGTAAGCCGTGGGAATTAGCAGACAGGCGCCTGCCACTTGGCTTGTCCCAGAATTGCTGTCCCTTGCCCACACCGGCAGACACCAGGCCAGGCCCGTCCTCCTAGGCCCAGCCTGTTCAGTATCCTCTCCACCAGTGACTCTGTTCACTCTCTGCTTCCTCCTCTATCTAAAAGGTTCTGGGGGCGCCTGGGTGGCTCAGTCGGTTAGGCGTCCGACTTTCGCTTAGGTCATGATCTCGCGGTTCGTGGGTTCGAGCCCCGCGTCGGGCTCTGTGCTGACTGCCAGCTCAGAGCCTGGAGCCTGTTTCAGTCTGTGACTCCTTCTCTCTCTGACCCTCCCCTGCTCACGCTGTCTCTCTCTCTCTCCTAGAAATAAGTAAAAAAAAATAAAAATAAAAAAATAAAATAAAAGGTTCTGGAATCTCCTTCCCATTTGCAATAGGCTAATGGAGGACGGTGTCCCAGCTGCTCTCATTTAAGGGTCTTTGCTTCCTTGGCTCTCTGTGGGCCTGAGTCATATACTTCTCCACATAAACTGTTCTTTTGTTTTGTTTTGTTTTGTTTTAGAGTTCTCTTAAACCAGGTCCTACCACACTGCAGCGTTTCTGCGGGGTCTGACCCCTTGGGCCTCCTCAGTCAGCATCGAGGCCACGCCCCTGAAATGCTCCTCACTGCTGGTCTCCTCGGCCTTGCATCCAGCCACTTCCTGCTGCCACAAAAGGCAACTTCCTCACTCCTTGGAATGAGGGAAAGAGTCTCCACCATCCCAGACCTCTGCTGGAGCCCCGGTCCCTCCCCTTCCGGGTGCTCTAGGGCAGTGGTCTGAAGAATTCCAATGCTGGCCACACCTGGGTGCCTTTTCAGCTGTGTCTTCCTCCCTCCTCCTCAGAAGCTAGACATGAAGCCAGGTTTTCCCACCATCCCATGCACATTTCTATCAGGACACAGGAAGGGGGAATCCTTTCAGTCCCTGCTTTTGTAGACAGGGGACCAAGTAGGTTTCCCTGCTTGGCCCTGGATCCAGCTGGCATAACCAGCACAACAACTGTTTTTTCTCCCTCATCTGAGGCAGACTGTTTTGAGGGATATAGCGATTCCTTCTTCCCATCCTTTTGCCAGTGTTGACAAGACCTGTGTCCTTGCATATGGGCCAAGGAAGTAAGGACACCCTTATCTCCCAGAAGTCTGTGGGAGGTGTATCCCCTTATAGATTGTGGATTATTTTTTTCACTTATTTAAAACATTTTTTTAATGTTTTTTATTTATTTCTAGGAGAGAGAGAGAGAGAGACAGTGTGAGCAAGGGAGGGTCAGAGAGAGAGGGAGTCACAGACTCTGAAACAGGCTCCAGGCTCTGAGCTGGCAGTCAGCACAGAGCCCGAAACGGGGAACAAACCCACGAACCACGAGATCATGACCAAAGCGAAAATCGGACGCTTAACCGACTAAGCCACCTAGGCGCCCCTAAAACTTTTTTAATGTTTGTTTTTGAGAGGGAGTGTGAGTGGGGAGGGGCAGAAAGAAAGGAAGACAGAATCTGAAGCAGGTTGTAGACTTGGAGCTGTCAGCACAGAGCCCAACACAGGGCTTGAGTGCACAAACCGTGAGTTCATGACCCGAGCTGAAGTCAGATGCTTCACTGACTGAGCCACCCAAGTGACCCTATTTATTTATTTTTAAAGTTTGAGAGACCGAGTGTGCGCTAACACACCAGCAGGGGAGAGAAAGAAATGGAGAGAGAATCTCAAGTAAGCCCTGCGTTGTTAGTGTGGAGCTTGATGCAGGGCTCCAACATAGGAGCTGTGAGATCATGACCTGAGCCCAAAACCAAGAG